TACATACACATACATACACATACATACACATACATACACATACATACGCATACATACGCATACATACACATACATACACATACATACACATACATACACATACACACGCACACATACACATACGTACACGTACATACACGTACATACACATGCAGACACATGCAGACACATGCAGACACACACATACATACACACATACACATACATACACACATTCACATACAGACACACACATGCACATACATACACATACATACACACCTACATACATACATACATACAGACAAACAGACAGACAGACAGACAGACAGACAGACGTACAGACAGAGACCGAGACCGAGACCGAGACCGAGACAGAGACAGAGACAGAGACAGAGACAGACAGACATACATACATAAAATGTATATATATATATGTATATACATACACAATTTCTATTATCGTTAGTGCTAGCATTATTCTTATATTTCCATTTTAAATAGCGGAGAAAAACGACAACTGTTTTTCTGCATGACGCCGGGCCGCTGCCCGACATTGAGCAGTGAGCGACTCATGCACACTTATCGATTTGTGCGTGGCTCCAGGCAATGCCTGTGATGTTTCAGAGTCCATTCTTGTGGTGGAATCGGGCCGCTACCTTGGTGGCCTCCTGCATTTTACAGGGAGGGTTTGCCGTTTCCTAAAAGATTTGGCCTCTCTCAGCAGTTGAGTGAGATGGTGAGGTGGACTTGATGCATGCTTTGGGGTGGTGGAGTGCGTTTTCCTGCGGCCCCCCTGTTACTTCTGCTTGGGTGGTGCACATCGTCTTCCATGTTATCTGTCCTTTGGGCTGCTTCGCTGCTGCGTGTTCGCAGAGCTGCAGCACATGTGCTGTCTTTCTTGGGGAAAGAGGCTCAATGGTACGAAGGCACATGGTGCCACCAAGCCACTAGAGATCTTCACTCTTTGGAAGGCAGTGCGCGCCTTATGGCGGCGGGGGAGCAAGCTGCTTGGCTTCGGGCACCTTGGCAAGGAGCCCATGACCGTGGCAGAGCGGAGCTTGTGAGAGCTGCAGGCTTACACTCAAACCTTGCACGCTTTCCGTTGGGTTTGGTGGACTCTTTCGCCTTTGGCGGGGATCCAGTTTGTACTCTCGCATTGTTGGCGAGAACACGCAGCTGCTATTGTGAGCAGTTTAAGGCTGCAAGAGGACCTTACCGGTTGACTGCTTGAGTACGCGACCGACAAGAATGGAGGCGGACTTGTCGCGACCTTGAGATGCAACTAGTTTCTTCTCAAATGTTTGTCTCGGTGCATTGGTCGGCAAACTCTGGCCGGTGTGGTGAGGGAAATCAGTCTCAGCTCTCCAAGCGATCCGGCTGTGGGCCACGAAAATTTTAAAAAGTCGCTCCAGCGACCCGTCTCACCGTGTTCATGTCATTCTTGAGGAACATCAGGTCGATCACTGTTCTTTGTCATCGGTATGGGCCGCATGTTCGCGAGTTTGGTGAGGTTGCCGTCAAGAGTACCAGAACCTGTGGCAGCAACGAAAAGCGTTCTCCCCATCAGGAAGCTCCACGCCAAATTCATTGTAGACTCAGACAGTGATCTCTGCCAAAAGAAAACTGAGCCAGCGGGAGCCTCCGCATCTTGGTGGTCCCTTTAACCATCTCGGCACAGTTCGTTGAACCGTAAGCGAGCAACCTCTATCTTCGCAGCTCAAGGTCAATCCTCGTGTAAGAAGGCTCATAATCTCGGCTGCGTAGTTCATGGCTGCCCGCAGTGGTCTTGTCTCGGGGTTCTAGACAGGCTCCGCAAAGTGTAAAAGCGTTGCCGTTCCTTCTCCACTTCAAAGCCTGTCGGATCGCCCATTGGACCAATGTCCTCCTGCTTCACCTTGCAGAGCCTTGCATGTCCTCGATCTTCGGAGTCATCTTCCCCTTGACGCGTTCTTCCTTCAACGACTTATCCAGACTATCCAAACATGGGTGTTGGTTGTCGCAATGTTTTCTCGTGGTTGCACTTCTCGGGGGCGACGAGCTCATGGGTAACTTTCATCTTCTTTTAGTTGGCGACCTTCGGGTTCGTTGGAAGGCTACTGGCGCCGCTTCGCGCGGAGTTGACCAGCGCAATTTGCAGCCCTGTGTTCTTGGTGGGGGCGCTCACGGGCTTGGCTCTATTCCATGCGTCTTACGGGAGTGCTACGCCGGGATCAAGGACATGGAAGACTTGCCAGAAGAGTGGGCGACCATTGACCATTCAACCGGTTCAGGAATGCCTCGTCATTGAAGTTTTGGCTGTTCACCTGCTTGGCCTGGTCTACCTCGAGGCAACCGCAGAAATAGGCCTCGTCCTTGGTTCATCCTTTTCCTTCCGGACATCCTCGGTGCTCCACACGCTTGCAGGCGGCGCGCTGTCTGCTTTGCTTCATCTACCAACTGTTGCAACCTTTCCTCCCGCCTTTCCATCCTCCGTAGACCCGGGCCAACTCTTTTGGCTTAGCGGGCGCAGCCTTCGTGGAAGTCGAAGAAGATTCCAAAACTCGTCGCCAACGAACTAATCCGAGGCGGCTCCACCTCTGCTCTCTTCGCAACCCGGAACATGGGATTCATATCCATTTCCAACCTCTTTCGGTGCCAGGAGGCGGCGTGCGCGCCCGACATGGCCAGGGTACTCGCGGCTCACTGCTCACTATCAGAATCCACATCTATTGTATGTGTTTTGCCTATTTTGTTTATAACCGTTGGTTATTATAACCGTGGCTTTTGAGATTGCGTGGCGCATTGAGATTGCGTGGCGCATTGAGCAGGGACAACCTTGGCATTCAGTAGATAAACGAGGACTTTCGCAGGGGCCTGAACCAATCCTGGGTTGTATTTGCGTCATACTGCAGGATCGCGCCGTCTAAGCACGCAGCACCTGCAGTTGTCCGGGCCTCTAATGTCGTTCTGGGACTTGAAGGGGGTGCCGAACCAATGCTTGTCATGAAAGAGAAACATTGTGCACAGCAGGCAGTGTAAAAGCAACAGGGACTCCGCGTAGTCTTTTTCATGTGCAATGCACACCACCCGTTTTTCAGCTTTGTCATTTGCTGAGCAGCGGCGCATGGACTTCACACGGCGCAAATGGCATGAATTTGCACGCTTGCATGCAACGTGCAACGGCTGTTTTGCTGTTGCTGCGCCTCAGGATTTACAAGAGTTTGAAATGCGAGATCAGTCGGGTGCTTGAGGAACCAACCCATCTATGTGATCCGGGGCTATTCGACTTGGGAAATTTATTAATTCACATTCTTCATTTTGGATGATCTTACACATTTTGCTCGCCATTTCCTAGATTTGAGCAAGACTTTAGTTCCTCGTTTCAAGCAGGTTTTCATGTCCATGTGACGAAACTCGCCCCGGGTTGAAACTGAGGTGCAGAAACCCAACACAGTACAGTGTCACAGATGGTGGAGAAGTGCGAAGAATGAAAACCTGTTGCAGCTGCATTCAAAAGGTCTCATTTTAGGTGTGTCATTAATGATGGAATAACTGAAAAACTCTGGGCTTTCAGAAGCATTGAGGGCGACACCATTTGACAAGTTGCACGAGACAGCAACCTCAGCTTTTTAGTTTGGATCACGGCCGCCCTGTTCAAAGATTGATTGAGCCATAGCTGCTCAGGGGGGTTCATGTCAATCGGAATCCTAGCTTTGTGACAGTTGTGACACATGCGCAGTACACTAGCGGCTAAGTGCATTCTCACACCTGAACCTGCACACTTTTGAACATTTCACTGTTGTCTGCTTTGTTGACCCCAAGCCTTTCACAGACTCTTGCCATGCAGCGGCCCGGAACTGGCGAGAATTATGAGGAACGAAGAAACAACGTCTACTCATCAGAGCAGATTGAACTCGTGACTGTGTCAGGATTATCAGAGAGACATTGAGCGCTACCAGCAGAAACAGAGAGGCTTTGATCTCAGACGATGAAACACATGAATCAAGAACAATTCCTTTTTGCATCCTTAGAACCTGCAGCTTCCTTCAAGTCCTTCAGGCGTTGGAAGCTGACGCTGTACTTGTGGCAAGTCCACCCAAACTGTTACGTAGGTGTCGCCCACAGGTGCACGAAAAGCTACACCCTCTTCCGCTCAGATGTGTGAAAGTTTTTAGCCGTATCTTTGTCCACGACACCGTAGACCGATCTGCAAGTTGTTTGCGGGAAAGAACAGCAGGACATACATACAGTAGTATGAACATATGTATGTACATATATATATATACACACTGTATGTTCTTTTCATATAAACGACATACTAATTATATAGTATAGATCAGGTTTCCGCTGGCTTGCTGTCAAGACGGCCGGTCGTTATGTTTTCCTCACTCAGGTGAGCCAGAAGCAACAGCCCGGTCCAGCAGCCTTCCTCCTGACTTTCTTGGAGAAGAGCGGGGTATCCGGTAGCTGCGCTGCAATCAATGGTGGCCCCTTTGGGACCGGTGGCTTGTGCAAGGCTTTAGTAGACCCTTACCTAGTAAGGTATTTCCTTCTTCCTTTTTTGAATTATATACAGTACTTTGTTCGTTTTTCTGCCGACAATTCTTCGGTTTACTTTAAGAGCCCGCAATCAGGTCTAGCCAGCTCACACACCTGGGTGGATTTCGCCGAGAGTACCTGCACCGGAAGAGTCTTGGCCATGGATGCGCTTTCTTGGTACAGAATGTTTCTAGGGGACATTCACATCGAAGAACAACATCACATCCGAGACCGTGTGGTGTAGAGAGATTCCACTGAAGTGTAAGTGCGATACCTTGAGTCTCTCCCTTCCCCAGTAACAGTCAACAAAAGGTTTCTTTACTTAGCAGCCATCCAGAAATTGCACCATGGATTCACGTGTTTTTCATTTGAAGATTTGAGGGCAGCCAGGACATTGGTCAGCGGCAATGTTCATGTGTTTTTGGAACGCTTGGAAACCTGTTTGTTCATGTGTTTCTTCGCGCAAAAAATCATGCTCCAGATTGTGCTCCAAATCCTGCATTCTTGGTGCAAAAAATCGTGCTCCAGATTGTGCCCCAAATCGTGCATTCTTCGTGCAAAAAATCGTGCTCCAGATTGTGCTCCAAATCGTGCATTCTTCGTGCAAAAAGTCACGCTCCAGATTGTGCTCCAAATCGTGCATTCTTCGTGCAAAAAGTCGTGCTCCAGAAAATTGGGCAGCATTCTCCTTGCCAGCTGGCAGGGTAATACCTTCCAAGCCTGGACCACAATCTTAATCTGGTCTGGACCACAACCTGGACCATCAAATCTGGACCACAAATTTTTGCACGAAAATTGCACCCTCTAAACCACAAATTTAATGTCTCGATCTCCACCTTCAAACCTCCCACCAAAAATCTTAATTCAAAAACATTGAAGTTGGGCGTGCAAAAAGATCGTGCCCTAGCTCGTGGTCCTTTCACATAAAGGCCTTTATTAAAAATGCACAAAGTAGAGCACAATTTTTTGCACCCCCAACCTCAAAGTTTTGCCGTAAAGCTTTGCCAAACAATTGGGCAGCATTCTCCTCGCCAGCTGGCAGGGTAAGACCTTCCAA